TGAATGAGAAAGTTGAATTTCAAAGCTCGCAAAACGTGCATTAAAAAAGGACATGGACCGCCAACGCACGCACGCACACACACACACACACACACACACACACACACACACACACACACACACCAACTGAAGTGCTCCGCGCACACTCTAACGCCACGGGTTCGCAGCCGGTCCACCATGAACAGTGACGCGGTGGTCGACATGATCTACCAAACTTGCCCTTATCCGCTTCGCTAGATCACTACCATAGCTAGGGTCCTCCTCTGCTGCGGCTTCGACATTGAGGTCTGGCAGATGTCGTTGCACTCACCGGCACCAGCGCCGCCGTCGACGGACTGGGCGACGAGGGCCATCCCCATCGCTGTCGCTGCTGTCATCCATCAACTCGGGGTCGATCTCCACACCGTGATCTATCATCAGGTTGTGGAGAATGCACACTGCCATTATCTCCTTGCACAAAGTCTTCAAGGTCGATATGTGTGTGCGGATGAAATTCCTCCACACACTCTTCAAACGGCCGAATGTCCGCTCAATGCAATTCCTCGCTGACGTGTGGCACTCGTCGTATGTGTTGTCTGCGGATGTCCTTGCAAATCTGTCGGGAATCATAATCCACGGTAGAAGAGGATAACCGGCATCGCCCAGAAGATAACGCCCGACATGCCTCCCGTCGTGCAAAATCGCTCCGCCCTCGCTCAACACTCCTTGTCCCGAAGTTGTGTTCCGGTATAATGGCGACAAACGCAACACACGTGAATCGTGCACAGACCCTGGACAGCCAACGAACACGCTCAGAATCCTGCACTCATGGTCGCAGACCACCTGCACGACAACCGAGAAGTCGCTGGTGTGATGGTAGTAACACTTTGATCGCGTTCCCTTTGGCTTCTCGATGTACACGTGGGTGCAGTCAATAGCCCCAACGCAACCAGCAAACCCTTTCGCCTCGAAAGCGTTTTGCACTTCCTCCAAACGCCGTCCTGTGGGGAAGCGAAGAAGATGGCCATACTCGTGGATCAAAGCATCAGCGACTTCTTCGTTGCTCCACAATGCACTGGCGAGCCCCATACCCAAAGCGTGGGATGATTGTCTGTAGTACCCGCCAATCGCCCACCTGATGAGGGCGCATGCAAACTTCTGCCCAGCAGGTAGTGGCAATCGGAAATTGGTGGGGGAGCGCTGGATATGAGGACCGATCCGAGCAAGGACTTCCAAAAACAAAGGCCGTGGAAGTCTGCAAAACCGCCTGAAGACCTTGTCGTGTTCCGGCCCCGTTCGTTGCAAGTCCCTCCAAACACCCCCGCTGCGGTCCACCACCCATAGCCGCCGTCTTCGAACAGTCATGTGTCTTTCCAGCTGCCGTGCCGCCAAATACGTCACAGCCATGCCGTGGATCACCCCCCCTGCCAGCATCGTCAGTGCCCTGGACACATCACGGAACATGAATTGGCATCACAGACACAGCTTCGAGGACAGCCATGGCCGCCGCATTGCGCCTGTTCACCCACTGCGTCACGGTCAGAATGAGAAAGAACAACATGTCCTCCCAATCCTCCCCCGAACCGGATACATGCTGAGGATCAATGGTTCGTTGCGGGAAAGGTGGGAGGATGGCGGGGGCTGGGGCACGCACTCACACACACAGACACACACACACACACACACACACACACGGGCACACGACGTCACCGCCACACATCGTCTTCCTTCGCGGCCTATGGTAACCTGGGGCACGTGCTTGCGGGATGTCCCGATTTGTGGCACTCCCCGGCGTCCCCGCCTTGGGTCCCTGGGGAGGAGGCAGACAAGCCCCGAACAGTTCTACAAATGTGGAATTTTTTCTGTTGTTGGAATTCAAATTCAAATACCGGAAGTCCCAACGGGCCGTTCTGGACGCCCGGGGACAGCTGAACGAAGTGCCCCGCCACCTGTTCGACGCCACACATCACACACTGCCAYGCAGTGCCACACACGGAAATGTCCTGGTCCAGGGACGGACGAGTTTGGTGCACCGCAATCCCATCCCAACTTTCCTTTTCGGGGGGAGACCCTCCGACTTTTCCTTTTCGGGTATGTTTTGCTGTTTCCAGAGCTCTGGAAATACTTTGGCGGTGGGGTCCCACGGAAACCCGCCAAACTCTTTCCGCCGCTTTTTATGGCCAACCAACTTTTCCAGCCGCCGAGCAGTGGGGTCCACCCCTTAGTCCAGCTTTCTTCTGCTTACCCTGTTCATCTCTGCTCATTTCTCAGCTCCTTTCAGCTCATCTTCATTTAATTCATTTTAATTCATTTCATTTCATTCCATTTCATTCCAGGGCAAGCTCATGGCATTTATAGCTAAGACACCATAAGGAGAGTCAGGAGAATAGGCGGTGGGACAATGGGCTACGTAAAAGGAGGGAGACTCCACCGGTATCCCCCTGTGGCCCCCTCCCTATACTCGCCCGCGCCACAGGATGGGAGGGGAGGCAAAGCCCGGCTATGGGATGCTGGAGTGGCTGGGTCAGGTTAATAGAGATACCCTGGAAAAATTCACAGATGTCTACACCGCCTGCTCAGTCAATCCCCTGGGCCACAGGGTAATCAATGCTGGCAGGCCTCACAATCACCGTTCTCAATATTGCCCAGACATTCTATTTTTTGTATATACGACGCTGGACCCGTTTTCCAGCAGGTGACGATCCCCACCAATAGACGGAGCCTCTCCCTGGTGTTAGTGGTGTCTGCTCTTATCAGCAAAAAAAAAAAAAAAAAAAAGGATGACAGGCATAAATCGAGAAAGGGTCCGAATTAGCAACGGCCCACAGTAGCTATGCTTGC